AGATGTTTCAGCTTCTTAAAGTTAATTGATTAGGATTGGAACTTATAAGAAAAATCTAAATTACTTAAATATGAAAGTAACAAGGTAATTGGGGTTTATGTATGATTAAGGCTACTAAGAAGAGTATTTTTTAGCTCTTTTGAATTGAAATTTGAATTATATTCTTCTCATATGGGTGAAACCTATTAGGGTTTCTTGAATACTTATGAAATACAACCTCATCTTCTATAGTTAGGTGCTAGGTACATTCCTAAATAAGACAACATATAATACAACAACGTGGCAATGTTCTATAGGACCTCCAATATGTGTTGACTTTGTAGGATACATGCCTTAACTTACAAGGCATGATTTTCTATATTTTTGCCACATAATTAGCTTGTTCCTCAAGCTACTAACATGTGTGGCACATGGTTAACTTATTGACCAAGTTTCTAACCTAAAAGTTAACAATGGGCACCTATAAAGTCAAAGCAACATCTATGAAGCTTTTAGGAAGCTTTCTTACAAGATATTATAGAATTAACTTACTTTTATCTACTTCTATCTACTTCTACCTATTTATACATGTAATTATTGGCTTACATGTATATGTCTGTGACAATATGTGCAAAACATAGACAACTTATTTGCCAAGTGTTCAACATATTTATCACCTATAAACATGTAAAAAATCAAGTAAACTTACATGAAGCTTCTATTAAACTTTTCCACAAGATATTTTTAAATTTATCTATTCTGACTTACTTCTATCTAACTCTTCTTATCTAGATAATTATAAGAACAAGTTGATTATGACTATAAAAAATACAAGAAAAATTAGATAATAATTTTAAAATAAAAATATTTATATGATTAAAAATAGTAGATCATTTAATTTATTTTAATATATATATATTAAATAACTTTTTTTTTTTAGTTTTTTATTTTTTTATACTAGAAAAATTAATTCCTATTGAAGCTTTTAGAAGAGATTCTATAAGCTTTACAATGTCTTAAAAATCTATAAAAGTTTTTTTGAGAAATTTTAAAAAATAATATGTTTATGTATCATTAAGAAGGAATAAAATAGACAAAGATGAGATAGATATAAGACAACAAAGAACTATTTTTGTTATTTTTAATTAAAAAAACTAAAAAAACTTAAATCAAGAGTGTAATACAAAAAATATATTAACAAGATTGAAGATTGTCATAATTTTGCTTCCATATATACTTATTATTAAGAAGATTTTGTGAAATCTTTTTTAGAACTGTAAGACTTGTGACCTAAATATCTAAGTTACAAAATTATTTTGTAATATCTTTTTAAAATAAAAGACTTAAGGAACAAGTTTTAATAATCACATAATATATTCAGAAGAATTTGAAGATCTAAGCCACATATAAGAAGTTTCTTTAGTAATTTTTGACAAAGGTATCATCTATCTAAGATTTATTTACTTCTACTTATTTCTATTTAATAAGTGACATAAATACTTATTATATACAATTAAAACATAATTAAAATTAAATTAAAACATGTATATAATTTAGAGAGTAGAAAAATTATTAAAACCAAAATATAAATGTTTGAAAATTGATTTTATCAACAAAAAAATGAAAAATAAAATAAAAACCAAATAAATATATGCAATGCCAAAAGTTATCAAGTGGAAGATCAGATAGAGCAAAAAGACATTTTTAAGTTAAAAAAACTTTTTAGTTACATAAGTCATTACAATAATGTATTATAAATTTATAATAATCAATCTTTAATAATCAATGGCAAAAAAGCTATTTTGAAACCAGTTGGCTGCATTCACGAGGAGCGGTTTCACATCCTTTGCTCATTCCACGCACATTATTTTTCCTAAAGCCCTAATGCCAGTCACTGCTTGAACCACCCAATTTCTCAGAAGTGGGTGTACGTCGACTTATGAGGAGCATCGTTCTTTTAGCCCAATGGCGGATAATTGGCTTGTTCCTCCCCTCTGGCGTTCCGAGGAATTAAGAGTTTACAGTGCCGTTACTTTGCGAGACTTGTTTACTGATCTGTGTCATCGAGTTATGCTCATATAAGCGGTTCCAGGCATCGTTTACAGAGCATACGAAGCCGGTTCTGCAATTAAACGCTAGTTGAGCTCCCAGGTTTCAGTTTTATCTCGTGGCACACAATAATTTGTGAAGTGAATCTGCAGATACTGGACATGTGTTATGTGATATTATATACATGTTTTGATTTGTTAGAGAGCTGAGCTCCCGAAAGAGTATAAATATTGTATGGGTTTTCATGATCCACTGTGAGATTGAGTTTCGTAGATTGGTTTTGGAGGGAGGCAGAGGCGGTCTCAGAACCATTCATGTGTTCTCGACAGAACTTGGTTCAGGCAATGTAGGTAAGTTAGAGGTCATCACTGGCCACCACTTCTGCATTCAATGCAATCTGCCTCCTTCGATTAAAAGGTAAACCAGTAAAGCAATCGCTGTGCGCGTGCCATTGCGCGCCAGAGACGCTCGCATATCTCACTGTACGAACGGAAGTTCTACGTAGCTAGGGGCAGGGTTCATATCAGAGCCAACAGGCCACTCTATGTAATATACGATGTGGATCAAATTAGTACCGATCAGAGCAAGAAAAGCCTTCAGGGTCAGCTGTTAATCAACAACGCCTAGCAGCGTCAGGTCTCGGAGATTTTTCACAACATCATCTGGCTATGCAAAGCTTCAACACGTCATAGAGTCCAAATCCGAAGCTCTCACCACCATAAATGCAACTCAGGAGGCAAACGAGCCTGACTAAAACCAAGACCACTTCTCAAAGAAACTAGAAACCTAATTAGCAAGGATGCCAACAGCAACCTTAGCCAGGGATGTCTCACAACCACACACTTCATCTGGGTTCCTAACACCAGATGCCATGACTACTCAGGCGCAATCCGCCATAAACAATAACTAGAACGTCACTACTCTGAAACACAATCGGCAGAATATATTCCTTAAAGCCATGAGAGGACGTAATTAAAACAAAACACACCGAGTCACACATTACCTACGGCTATAATGCAAGCTTGACATACACGGGAGCTCGTGACATCGGAAAATGCGGCAATTAGCAGCATGCTCCAGAAATCTGCTCGAAAGGGCGAATTTAAGGCTCTACACGGTGGGCGAAGTAAATTAGGGATTGCCTTGAGGCTCTGCCATGGAAAACGGTATGGGATAGTTCTAACGTTCTCAGTTCCAGCGTTTCAACTTTGTTCTATTTCAGTGAACCCATGTCAAAGATACAATTCGTAAAGGTTACAATGTTGAATTTCAGGAGAACATTTTTGTTCACTAAAAATAATAACTCGCAAAACCCATTGTATTCCGTGGTGTGAATGATTAAAAAAATTAAAATTATAATTTTAACATATTTCCCCTGTAAACTTGTGTGTTTAAGAAGTAAGTTTACATTTTACTCTGTTCACGGTATTTTGTCAATATTGCATTAAAGTAATGATTTTTCTGAGCACATGTATATTGTGATAGCACTTATATTCCACTAAATCTAAAATCATATAAGTTAGTCATTGGGAACAAATAAAAATAGCTTTATCAATAGTTATCAAACGCCTTCGATTTGTAAAACACTTTGCCATTTCTTTACCTTGTCACTATTACTTGGTGACTTTATTTTAACTTAGGTAAAATCTACAAACGATCAAATCCCCATTTGCAAATAGAAATTTTTAAACTACATGCTATCAAGGGCATAATTCTCAAGATTTCTTCCCGTTAAAAGCAAGAAACTGTGGTCGTAAGAACTAAAAAATTGATTTTATTGTAACCGTTTTTTGCAACCGATGATTAAATCTTGTCGGTTCATCCGAAGATAACAACATTTCAAGAATAGATTGTACTTTTGATAGATCTGATGTTCTGCCTTTAGACATGACCCTCGTTTTTATCACTAAAATACAATTTTCCTAATTTACAAAACTCAAAATGCTTCAATATAAACTTTTGAAGTCACTAGTTTATATGAAGTCAATTAACTTCCAACAGCAGTGCTGTGAATACATGCTCAGATAAAGAATTAAAGGAAACTGAATATTAAAACACTTCCCAGATTATCGAAGTCACTAGAGAGCAATACCGATAGTTTGAATGACACAGCCGAGTGAAAAGACACAGAAACCTGCAGCCTAAGATAGAAATGATGGTAGAAAAGCAGAAAAACCTCAATATTGAATTCCAACAACGTAGAAAAACTTGCCAGTACTGCAGGACATAGCAATGCAGTTCAAGTAGCTGACTAAATGATTCAATCAAAAGGTGCGAAGAGTTGGATAAGCTAAGTCAGAATGAAGCAGCACCAATCCAGAAGGTTCATGAGGGCAAATTTCAAGGCTGCTTCAAATCGTAACTCACTCCGAAATGGAAGAATGACTTAGTTTAATGAAGAGAACCGACAGACAAGAAGTAGCCTCAGTAATCATAGCTGCAACCCAACACTGAAGCCAACTAAGGTGTGACTACACGAGTTTGAAGGTAAAAAATGCGTCGAATTGAAGAACATAGCCACAAATATGAAAACGAGCATGAGCATCCTCCTTGTACCCCTGGCCAACATGAATATTATGAAATGGTACACAGAAATCACATCCCCTCTCGAGGGCGAAGATTATATTAGGGCTGAAGGTATTTCTAAAATGACAACAAAGGTGCTGCCAAAACCGTATAGAAACCTCCAAGGAACTTCTCCACGCCAATGGTTCCAACCCAGGAGACCAGACGAGCTGCCTCCCAGCAATTATGTCGACATCTCTAATGAAATTCAGTTAAATAGTCCACAGGATACGATACCTGTCCCCGAGGCTGAGCCAAATCGGCAAATAACGAAAAAATCAAACCGTTCAACCTACCCTAGTTGCAACCACAGAAAATCGAGTCGACGATACACGGTTTCGGCAGTTCTACCGATCGGCGAGATTAGAGACGCAATCAAAGACACACGATGTACCATCATGCAAGGCTAAGAGCAATAGACAATATGAGGAATCACCACATTCAATGGGGCAAGGTACAAAAACGACAGTGACCCAAACCCTAACACTTTCAGCTGATCCATCACCCACAACATTTCCTCCTTCTAACGGCCTATCCGAGCGACGGCATCAGGGTCCAACAGCAAATTTCCCATCGCACCACACGTGCATAAGCTCTTCGCTTACACCAATAAAACCTGCAGTTCCAATAATCACCAGCTAACCTCCATCCGCCGCATCCCCACTCCAGCTCCCACACACACACTCTCTCTCTCTCTCTCTCTCTCTCTCTCTCTCTCCCTCTCTATTCGGCGGTGGGCATAGAGCGGATAATATCAGAATCGCCAGGGTCGGTAATGCTCAAAGTGCAGACACGGAAGTACTTCCCGCAGGCGGTACCCAGGTCCACATTGTTGCCGCTGTAGTGATGCACTCCGGTCTTAGAGAGCATGGCGTAGTACTCTATCTCCGACTTGCGAAGAGGAGGGCAGTTGTTGGCGATGATCACTAGCTTACCCTTGCCACCGCGCAACGACTTGAGCGTGGTGGTGTAGCCCAGCGTGTACTTCCCAGACTTCATGACCAGGGCGAGCCGATTGTTGATGGACTCCTGGGCCTTCTTGGTCTTCTTCGCAGCCACCATTGTGTCCGAGTTTTGTTTGCAGCGGGGCTCCCGCAGGATTATTTTTCTGACGGGCGCAACACAGCAAGAGCAACCCCCTCCCACCCCCCTGCTCGGCGATGGTGACACACGCGAAGAGAGTGGACGACGAAAAGAGCGAGCGGGAGAGTTCACTCTGTGAGTTGGCTTTCAACCCTCCCGAAACCCTACCCCCCCCATCTCCGTCTCCACATCAGCAGTGCCTCTGGTGCCCTAAGACCGTGTCTGCTGCACTGAATTCCGCTTCCTTCCATTCGTCCACTACCCTTTGGAAACAAACTTAGACCCATTGGAATTTTCTTAATGTATAACTTTTAATAAGAATGTTCAGGTTAAAAAAATGAAAAATGAAAATTTTACTGGGATCATGTTTGGATTTCCTTTTTTTAATGATTTTATTATTTATTTAAGTTGTAAGATATGTATTGATATTATGTTTTTATAATTATTGGGATTTTCAGAAAAAGAATTATATGTAAGCAATGATTCTTGTGATTGAATGCATGATGGATTTACTAATCTCTTAATAAGAATGTGTTGATATAAATTTGGTGGAACAAAATAGTTAAATACTATGATTGGGGACTTTACTTTAAGAGTGTTATATTAAAAGCTTGATATTTATGTGTAATAACATGCAGTATGATACTAAATTGCAAAACATTGTGAATGAACATGTAACAAAGAATAAAATTACTATTTTACATTAATACCACTAAATACTAAATGAGATAATGAAAAATAACACACAAATGTGAAAAAACAATATATATCAATAAAATAAAGCAAAAATAATAGTTACAAATGACATAGATATAACCTATAGTTGCAAAAATGCAACAAAAATATTTAAAACTAAAAGTAAATAAATTCAATGGTTTAATTTTGTATTACATCTGAAACTTTTGATTGTAATATATAATACTCATGATTTATCTTTTATAAGTTCTATCATCACATGTATATGAAATCTTACAACTTGCTTTTTAAAATTTTGTTAATTGATATCTATACATGTGTTTTTTATAAAAATAAATTATTAAAAATATACTTTTGAAACATCAATTTTACGAATATTTAAATTTAACTAATTTAAATTTAAATTATTTAAAGCATATTTTATTCTATAATGATCCTAATATACATGCACAATCATATATATATATATATATATATATTTATCTTTATATTATTATTTTGAGTTGTTGCTTTAAAATAGATTTTAAAACTTATAAGTCAAAGATATGAATAAATTCTCTTATAATGTTTATAGTACGTTAATAACATGATGAGTTCAAAAAAAATTACGAATCTTTTATTTAAAAGTATCATCAATAATAGAATAAAAAGATCTAATAGTGATAATAAAGATTTATAGAATTTTTATGGTTTTAAATGCAAGTATAAATACTTAGTGCTATTCTGATTGTAGAGTACCACAATCATCTTATACAAAGGTATGATAAAAAAAAAAAAAAAAAAAAAAAAAAAACTTCGGATTTCCAATAGAATTTTGAATAAGAAACAATAAAGCTTCTATTTTACTTATTAGAACACACACATATATTACACCTCATTTGATTAATTTAAAGTTGTTGTAAAAATTATACAATTAAAAATAAACTCAAGGAATTTTTGAATGTATGTTGGATAGTAATTTTAAAACAGTATTAGGTTACTTTTAAAATTAGTAGTTTTCTCTTTCATAAGGATGTGAAGAATTATTTAAAATTAAAAAATTAAAAACCAAAAATTAAAAATACAAAAGAGACATGACACTAGAATAAAAATAAGATTGGAAACAATACTAGCAATAGAGTCACTTTTCTCTGGCTTCCAATCTTATAGTAATAAGTTTAAGGTACAAATTGTCTTACCTCACTTTAAAATGGCAACTTAGTTCTATAGAATATTCTATTAAATGATCTAAAAACTATATAAGGTCCTTGAAGTGTAATGAATCTTGAATAGAAACATGTAACTGTCTATGGAAAATTTCAAATGACTAGGACAAGTAATAGAAGTTTGTAGAAAGAATTTAAAGGTTGTGGAGGTTGGTAAAACTAGAGAGAAGTCAAAATTTTACTTCAGAGGTTTTAAAAGATTTTAGCATATTTCAAAAAATGTTTAAGATACAATTTAGTTAATGTTCAACAAAAGGCTTATTAGATCCTTTTAAAGGTATTATAAGAATACACATGGAGATTTGTTTCATTTATTTGATTTTTTTTGTCAGAGTCTCATAAATACATTAAAATATATTTTAAATTAGTAATTATAAAGAAGTATATTTTTATTTATAATCATTCGATATTATAATAAATACTAGTGTTCGTATGCATAAATCTACAAGAATAAATTACTATAACTAAAATAAATAAATAAAAATCAATTAAAAATTGCCCATTCAAATCTAGTAAATACATTGCGTATCTTTATGTCAAGTATTAAAAATAATATTAAAAATCAAATCAATATTTGCTTTGAATCTTTTCTCAAAAACCTTCAAATATCTGTTCTAACATTGATTCACATTCAAGTTTGGGTGCGAAGCATGTCATGGCTATTCTTACTGGATTCCTGAATTCCAACATGAATGTTTTATGTTCCATTAAACTTCAATTTTGGTGCAGTTTCGACAGTGAGACATGAGGTGATGTGAAAAACAAACACACAAAAGAAAGATCAACATAAAACACATCAAAAACTTCGAACTGGTTACTGCTGATAACCTTATTATCTTTGAAACATCTTGAAAAAACTCAATAGGATGAAAGTAGTACTTGGGTTTGTGCAAGTATTGAAATAGGCATGGTAGATAAAGGTTATAAAAGAATTTTCTTAGTCTATGAACACTGACTTTGAATATCACTAAAACCTTAACAAGATCTGACGTAACCTTAAACTGAGTTTAACCACAAATGACATGTGGATACTTATGCCTCTTCACCGTGTTGGAGTTGATGAGATGTTGCAGTTTAAGCGAGAACTTTGTCGGTTTTAAATGGCTTCTTATTCACCCAATCGAAATCTTTGACAGCGCGATCTACCACTGTATTTGCAATTGCTAACGATGATGTACATGCAGGAGAAGGTGCATTTCGCACGTTGAGAACAACCCCTGACGACCCATTTTCAAACAGAAAGTTACCGATGATTTTCCCTGAGTCGTCGATTGCTACAGCATGAACTCCGGCCCAGCCATGAACTGTGTGCTCCACCTCCAACTTTGGACAATACCTGTATTATAGACCCACAAATGCTTTAGAACCTCAGCATGAATAGGGCCGATGTCAGTGAAATAGCGGAAGCTAATTCACCATTAAAAAAAAAACAACAAAACAAAAAAAACAAAAAAAACAAAAAACAACCATGAATTACATACTGGAGACACGACGAGAAGAAACCATCTAGAAAAACAAGTTGAAGCTCAATCGGCGACTGAGCTGACAACACTCAGTCTGCTCACTTCAGAACGGAATCATCCTTTCACAAAGCTTCAGCTGTCAACCAACTGAATTCTTGTTTCACTCGCAGATCATGCGGACGAACCAACACAGTCTAAAGTAAGGTAGACATTACAAGGGGAGAGGCTCAAAGATTACCGTTTAGCTTCTCCCACGAAGGCACGAGTGTTAAGGTCGCGCCATATTTCTTGAAAGACAATGCCAGGGTTGCTAAGTACTAACTTCCACAACCCTTTGTTAATGGCGAATAGGAGAGTGTCCTTCATGTTAACCTTCCAAAACTTGTAGCCCTCCTTTGACAAGGCTAAAGCAGAATTGGGGCCAATAAGGACTCGACCATCCACACGTGGAGTTAGATGCACGCCGACCATAGGAAATCTGCAATTATAAGAGGATTACCTTAACCTCCATGCATCTCGATGATGAGGTGAAAAGATCTTATTATGAATCATGAATCGATTTCCAATAATCTTCGACAAACAAACTTTAGGAAAAAGAGGGGAGATGCGGCGGCGAAGATCGAGAGCTAGAACCAAGACCCAAGAGTAAGGAAGGAAACAAACTTGGGGTCAGGAACTGGATAGATGTTGCGAGTGATGAGATTGCGATATTCCGGCCTAAGCTCGTGATAGGTACCCCTAAAAGGGAGAACCGTTGGACCTTTTGCACCTCCTGCCATACTGCCCACATAGTCGGCTTGAAGACCCCCGCATGTAATTAGCCACTTGGCTTTGACCTCATCACCGGTCTTGCTTTGTAAAGTTACCCCTCTGGAAGCATCTGCATCAATCCCGATCACCTCAAACCTGTTGATAGGAAACATAACAACTTATTAACTACACATACAGTTTCTCAATGATGGTAAATTTCAAAGGAGAGAATATGAATAGGTCATATTTACAGTCAGTGAGGAGTATCTGGATGTGCAAAACCCACAAATGAGCAAGAAAAACATCTGATACACTCTTGACTAAACAACTGGAATAAAACTGTAGAGGAGGTACCATCGTGTTTCAATCCAATCCATTCAGAGCAATTTGGAAACCAAATAATGAAAAATGAAGACAGGTGCCAAGCTAGTTTTTGAGGTTCAGAAAATTGCAACTTGAGCGTTGAACCTCAATTTTTGTGAATCATCATTGTAACACTCCAAATTTTTTAAAAAAAAAAAAAAAACAAAACAAAACAAAACAAAAACTGGTAGCGACGTGATTGCAAGACGTGCATGTAGATGTACGAAGGAGTATACGTGCGCATAATGTCGACAGCTTACCCGGTCCGAATTTGGCCGCGCCCGGTTTCGAGTACATCCTCGGCGTATGAACGTCCAACCTTGGCATAATCTACGATTCCAGTATTGGGGGAATGCAATGCACGAAGAGCACGGACGTTGGGTTCAATGTCCAAAATCTGCTTCGGGGAGAGAAGCTCTAGTCCTTGCACACCATTTGCCTTTGCACGCTTGTAAAGGTTGTCTAGAATGGGAAGTTCGGAATCACGCGTGGCAACGATAAGCTTGCCAACGCGCTTATGAGGCAAGTTTTTCTTTTCGCAATAGTCGTACATTCGGCGAGCCCCGTCAACGCAAAGCTTCGCCATGTCACTTCCAGGTTCATAGTAGATGCCTGCATGAATCACCCCACTGTGCACATTCCACATTACAACCCACACGGTGATCCCACTCATACACCATATTTACGGAACGAGCTACCCTCACTCCACTACTCAATGAAATTGATAAGGAGGGAGAACACCAACAGGAAGTCAGAATTGGAACTGGGTGTGAGTCCTAAGCGCGTATTCTTGGCAGACGGCCGGTAAGGTTCTAATCTGGCATTGCTAGGGAGTGGAACTCAGTTAAATCGCACCTATTATGAGAGGTTTGGTGCTTCACAATATCCTGCTCCTTCTCGACCACCACAACTTTGGCACTCGAAAACCGATTTACGATCTCACGTGCTGTAGCCAACCCCACGATCCCACCGCCTATAATAGCTACGTCAGCCTCTCCATTTTTCAAGTTCCCCCTGATACTGCTGCTGCTGCTGCTCCTTCGACTTTCGCAGAACGGCACCATCCATTGAGGGACGAACCCCGGGACATCAGCCAACCCCACAGAACATTCTCTGACGAGTCTTAGTCCTGACTTACCAATCGACGGCAACTTCCCATTCTGAGCCATGCCGATCGAAACAATTATAAACAGAATATGGATCCTCTTCTTGGCTAATGTTTGCTTCGCCACCAAAACTGCACCGGTTGGCCGATTTGTCGACCTCAAAGTAGACAGAGCCTAAGCAGCCAAGTACGAGCTTACTTTCACGGAATCCTGCCTCTTTGAACATGAATCTGCTATCAATAAAAGTTACAAAACATACAAAAAAATGTTGAGCAACGAATTAGGACATTCACAAAGGCCCTCATGCGTTATCAGCAGGTGCAAGATCAGAACAATTACTCGGTCCAACACTCACTTTCGCTCCATACCTTAATTCAACATAGGAGTGTATTCAGATGCACTTTCTCTATCCAAATCAATCGCGCCCAAACCCCACATCGTACGAGTACAACACAGCAAAAAAAAAAAAAAAAAAAAAAAAAAAAAGAAGAAAAAAAAAAAGTTAACCACGTCAAAGAGAACATTGACTTGACTTCGATAGTTTTAGTACACCGTGGACGAGCCACAACGCCACGAGCTGCAAATCACACACGTGTAACCCTGCATGCACAGTAAAATCCCCGGCATTGCGCAACACAGATGAACGCGAACCTCAAAACCCTAAACAATCTGTCTGACGATCGCGAGAAACCCCTCCCCATCACCACCTCCAGAAAATGAGCAAACTCAAGAGGAGAAGACCAAGCAGGACAACTCAGGAACAAACGATGCGATCCAAACGATACAAAAACACCCGAAAGAGATTTTAAATAAAAAACAGCAGAAGTCCGATCAAACAAGCAAAGAAGACACTGAGGAAGAAGAGCTTCCTGGTGCCTTACTCATATCTGCATCATATGGTTACGACCTCATATCTGCATCGCCACAGTGCGCATGCAAGCGCGTGATGCAAGGTTTCCAAGCTGCATCGCAACTAAACCCAGAAGTGGGTGCGAGGCTCATGGTCGAATGTGCATGCATCTGAAGGGAATTGGGTGGCACTTGTACGCTGCATGGTTCCAGAACAGCAACATCATCATCATCATCGTCACCACTACCATCACCGAGCATTTGCACAAATCGTGATAGTTGCTGGGTCCCTCCGTTGCCAGGGTCTTCATCTCCCTCGCCCCGTCCTCGGGCCCATACAACACTCATGGAAGGTAGAGTCGGTTTCGGAATCTCGACAGGAATCCGGATTTTCTTCATGAATTTCTTAACAAATTCTCGCACGTCTCGTGGGGACCTTCCAGCTCCGGCGCTGCAAGTGGCGGAGACTCTGGCCGAAGCTGAGTCGGCGTCGTCGTGCCCCGGGCGGGCCTTCGTTCAAACATCGACGCCTCGGTTCTCACAATTTCATCCAAATTGGCAACTCCGTCCTCGTTTTCGTTCATCCATTGTGGTTGGTACCCGCGGTCTTGTTCCTTTTGTTGGCCACTTATATACTAAGCTTGAGATTATGTACAAGACATTATTATTGGATGGCTTTTGTATGAGTATATGGCATCATGTGACTCTTATTTGTCTCTCTCCTTATCATGTATTTTTTTTAGCCATTTTTTCTTATAGTCAAACTACTGCAATTCTTTGAAACTTTGATCATGCACTTATAAAAAGATGCACATGGGCACAAAAAACATTGGCACATTTTTAATAGAACATTGGCACAATTTTTTATTCTATATTTTTTTTTATAAAAACATAATTTTTTTAAAATTAAAGACTACCGAGTTTTTATTTTTAGTATTCTAACTGTTGGACTTAATTTCATACTTGATTAGTTATGTTGCAAATATTTTAAAAGTGGATTGAGAATACAAGAGAAAATAATTGTTTATTATTGTTGGGTCATTTTCAAGTTCTAACATTGTAAATCATTAAAAAAATCAAAAAAAAAAGACCCAGAACAATTCCATAGGAGGGCTATTATCATTAAAACTTTAAATCATCTAATATTTCTAATCACTACAAATTGAGAATTTTTTAGAAGTTACTACTTGATCTTAAAAATATTAGATTAGTAATGCTGTGACTTTATTGTGATTGTCACAATTATTGAATTTTTTTTCAACATGGTTGTAGAAAAAAATGTATCCTCATTTGCACTAAACCACATATTGTTTTTTTTTTTTTTTTTTTTTTTTTTTTTTTTCCTTTGTCTAAATCTCATTTTTCATTTTTTAAAAATTGTTTAACTTATTTACCATTCTTTAAAGCCAAGCCTATTATCGATTCATTTTTTTTAATTCCTTTTTTTGATTCTTTATTGTAAAATTAAATAACTACACTATATAATATTCTTATTTATTTATTTCTTCATGATTTTAAAATCATGAAAATTAGTAGCTGTTATTATTGTGTTATTTATCTTTTTTAAAATCCTTACTAACTTAAAGTGGCTTTGTTCAAGTTACTTTATCATGTTTATATTGCACATAAATTATATAACAAAAAAAAACTATGTTTTAGATTATTAAAAAAATCACAATGTGTTTTAACTACAACTTGAGTTTATTTTAGTTTGTTATAAAAATACAAAGTTTCAAGAAATTTGATTCATGTATATTTATATCTTAAATTTTTTTTTAATAATTTTTTTATATTTATATTTTTTATTATATACATAAATAGAATTTAATATAAAAATAAATAATGAATATGAAAATGTTTCAAATAGAGTAGTTTAGAAATCATCTAAGCATCAAAGTGTAATACATGTATGTATTGCTTAAGTAAATGGAAGTAAATAGAAATAAATAGAAGTATATAAAATATATTATGTAGATAATATTTTTCTTAAAAAACTTCAAGAAAGTTTACTAAATATGGATTAGATGTTTAAATTCTAATAGATATACCATATGACTATTAAGACTTATCCTACAAGTTTTTTTTCTTTTAGAAAGCGGCATTGGAAGCAACCTTAACTTGATGCTTGGGCCACAAGTATCAAGGTCCTTAAAAACTTCCACAAAGTTTTTTTAATATTTATTACATATGGAAACAAGAGTGAAATCATATTCAATTTTGTCAATGCCTTTTTGCATTTTAATCTTAATATAATACTCTCTAGCTTCTTTGTATTTGACAATAACTATTCTAATTTTTGTGTGTTTGTTTGCTAGTTCGATTGTTGTTTTTTTAAATTTTAGGTCTATCTTGTATTACAAATTGGAATATCAAAAGGCTCTATATGTAGTCATTTTTTTTTTTTTTTTTCATGATAACATATGCAACACAATCCATTCATTTATTAATATCTAGAGACTTACAATTTATGATAAATTATTAAATGTTTAGAAAACACTAATGTATCTAATTATTGTGATATTAACAAAAAAATAAAAAAATAAAAAAATCTACACATAGTGCTGATGTGTTACCAAAATCATACATTTATTTTACAACTATTTAACTCTTACAATTCTTTAAGAATTTAAGAATACTGTCTACATTAAACTTGAAAAATAACATAAAATTTTCAATAAAAAGCTAAAAATACTTTATTTGCAATTTTTTAATATTTTTTATTATTTTTAAATATTTCTTGTTTGTTTAATTGATTTGCAGACAAGCTTGATTGGCAGGAAACGCCATGCTTGTAAACAAGCCGAACACCGATCATGCCGCCTGTCTGGATGTTCCAGTTCATTGATACAACTTGTGGTGAAATCCTGAGCATTCTTCTCCGACCAGGGTAGAGGGACCCATATCCCTCGGCATTCCACCGACAACCAAGAGCTAGACAGAGAACTAATGAAGGGACTGCTATTATTCGGGACAGAAGTGTAGCCGCAATCCTGGCGGCGCTGTACTAATGCCAACTCACATTGATTTTTTTTTTTTTTTTTTTTTTTTTTTTAAGGAGTTGCAGTCCCTCCGTGTGAATTCCTCCTGGTTTTGTTGAGCTCAAGCTCCGTTGGCACGTGAGGGTCTTCCTGTCAACCCGGCCTTGTCCTCATGAACCCTCCTGACTGTTGAAATGATGGGTATTGTTTCGAGCCAGACCATGTTGCAGGCTTTGGATAAGATCTTGACCCTTCATATCCATGCACTGCTGATGGAGTTTGGAAAGTCGGATTGCTACCTCTAAAACCAAGCGTGGAAAGAATTGTAGTGTTACTACTGATTACTATTGTATAGATTTATTCATGTGTGTGTGGGTGTGTGTATATATATATAACTCAATTGACTAAACAAAAAAAAGTCCATCCTCATGGCATTGAAATTGAAGGTTTGTTACTGCCTATGCGGTGATGAAAAAGTGAACTACAAGAGTTGAAGAGAACGGAACAATCTGGTGAGAAAGTATCGGACACATCAAATTCAGATTCAAGAGCCTGGCTTCACAACATGGTCCAGTGTACAACATAGAAGATATTTTTCGTTATGGTTAACGCCTGTGTATGATATCTCAGGATATAAATTATGTTTCCTTCATGTACATTTGTTCCAATTTCCTCGCTTCCTAGTATTAAGAGTAAACTTCCTAATTTTCCTTCACTCTGAAGATGTCGCTCATTCTTCACATATTTCTATCAATACCAACAAGGAAGTCCTGCTGCAAATGATTTTCCTAGGAATTCTCTCAGGCTAGCTCGCCTTCTAGCTATCCACATGTTATGATAATCGCGTTATGGTACAATATTCTCCAATTACTAATCCATGTGTACAATCCTAACCAAACAACCTTGCGGCGAAATCATGCCAGTTGGACTGTCACCCAAGCTAGAAATAAGATCACGTACTAGCTTAATTCTCAACGTGGAATTGAGGAAAAAGGGGAGCTTGACCTCTTCCGGAAGGTGTAGTAGATTCATTCCTGGGAGAATTGAACAATGTGGGCAGGAAATTTAATGTCACGAGCCTTGGAGATGGAAGTGACTCAAGCAAATGTGTGCTCAGGGGAGTGGCAAGTGGAGAGTCCACACTCTGCACCTTCGCACCATTATCTTCCCATTCGTACTGGTTTTCTGCAGATGTGGAAGATTTCGAACTGGAGTCCACATGCGACTTGAGCCTTGACGCCAGGGATTCGGTGGGCCGTCCGGTCAACTTCTGAACCAGACTCAGGAATTTCTCCGGTTCGATCTTATACACTATGGGAGAATGCGCATGAATGATGCGGGGTTTTGCACATCGTCGGGATCTGGTAAATTGAGAACCTTCCGGCCTCCGGACCGACGATTTGCCCGAGGATATCTGAAATCCGCAGCTCCTCATCCCCGTTAATTGGCTCCGCCGGACCGGACTAGCCATTCAGTCGAATTGTTTTCCTCTATGAAGCTTGATCGAGGGATCCCGCCGGAAGAAAACCCACAGCGACTGCAATATCACAAATCAATGAAGAAATCTCGAACCAATCCGCAAACCAAAAACCACAGCACTCGTGCTCTTGGGTGCCAAAGGAAACGTATCAATAGCAATCAACGACAGCCTACGAAGGACTAGTGGTGTGAAGGCAAGAATACAAGCTGTACATGTGTGGTACTCTTATTAACGATGGAAGGGGAGACTGGGGTGCCAACTTAGAGTTGCAGCAGAGTGCACACTCTTCCTGAAAACAGCACCTACCTCACGTCGTTATGGAACATAGGAATTCAACACGTACATACGGTAGAGATACGAAGCCAGCGGAGGTTCCTTCACTAGAACCACCGGAGACATATATTTCCATGTGGGTTACAAGATCGACCCCGTCGATGGACTTTTCATACTTCCTCGGAATCTACCAGTCGTTGTGGGTGCGTTAGTCGACGTCGAGAACGCGGCAGAAGCGGATGAGGCAAGACCTCGTGCGGGGGGGGGGGGGGGGGGGCTCAGGAAATGAACGATCTGCCTCTTCCATCCATTTTTTCAACCATCGTGCATCCTCTGTCGGGATTCATTCCAACGTGTTTCTTGGTTTTTTGGGTTGTGCTGATTTTTCATAGGTAATTTTTAGAGTAATTTTTAGAGTAATTTTTAGAGTATTTTTATGGTTAAAAATTACACACACAGAAAAGAGGTCTTTAATATGCATCAGTTTTGAGAAATATCTAGTGTGAAATTTCGGTTTTTATGCTAAAAT